TTTTTTTTTTTTTTTTTTTTTTTTTTGGTAGAAAGCGCATACAAAAAAGTGTGTGTTTTCTCCCTCAAATTCATTTCAGGATAGCCATGGGATGGCCTAGCTCAGGCTTTTGCTAAAAATCTAACCCAGACTCACAAAATTATACAAGACTCAGTATGATTTTTAGTCCTGCTCAAACATTGCACCAATCAGCTGAATGCGTCCCACAGTTCCATGTCTGGGCTGAATCCATGAAAACATTGTGGTAGCATCATTTGGAGTAAACTACATTTGATGCAGCAGACACTTATAAAGGGCTCACCAGAATTCAATACATTCTCTTAGTTTTGTAAAGTCCATGGTTATGTATAAAGGGCATGGTCTGCACTCTTGGGACTTAAACTTTTGTGAGGAAAATACGGCCAAAATGAACTCTGAGGTATAAAACATAAATGTAACTTGGTCTTTATCAAACACAGTGCGCACAGAGTAAGAGACTAATTGTAGTTGATTCCTGTATGGGTTTAGAGAGAATTCTGGGAAGATGTCACATTTTAGAAAAGGATTGAAGGACTTGGGGGTAGGGCGGGGGAAACAGAATGTCCTGATGCACAGTGAACAAGAATAGAGGATGTCGCAAGACAATGGAGTGAGAAGGTAAGAAAGGCAAGGGAAGTTCGGGCCAGATCAATGATATCATGCATAAATACATGTATACTTTGTATAATTCAAATTCTATTCATTAGTAGGAGAAGGCAAGGCCCTGCTCCGGTGAGGCACTCCTCCTTCCAGGGGAGAAGTTCTAGCATCTTTACTTCTATTTTATTTAGGACAGTTTAAGATCTCTAATTTGAAGCAAATATTCTATTAGATTGTGGAGCTATGTTTTCTGGGGACAATGTTCACTTTTCCAGTGACATAAAGTCAATGCTAAGTTACCTGATTAGGGAGATCTGGTGCCATAGAAAAATAATACTGTTTTTGGACAGAAGGAAGACTAAGTGTCATCAAGAGGAGACGCCAGAAGGGCCTTGCTGGATGTTCTACCAACACCAAATGGAGACTGTGAATACCTACTCCGTTGCTCGCCCCAGGATTTTGCTTCTTGAAGGGCCACGTTCACATATTAACTAATAAATTTCTTCTGTGCGTCTCTTAACATCCAAGTATACAGTTCATGTCATAGCAGAGACTAACTCTGAGTTTGTTTGTAGAGCAGAAACAACTCATAACGCCAATGTTCAAGACGTCTTTCCAGTGGCCACTTGGCCCCCCGTGAGCTTCAGCAATCCTCTAGCCTGCATGGTGGCATGCCTACAAGGTCTGCCCATGAAAATCCTCAGCCCAGAGGCTTCTGAAACCTACCATTCTCACACCGTTCTCAAAGGCTTGCCGGGTGAGGGGAGCTGGCCCATCCACAGTCTTGCCGTCGTCATCCGGGCCCCAGCTGGCACTGTAGATGTGCACATGCTGTGGGTTGTAGCTGACAGACTTCGCTTCCACCATGTCTGTGACATCGCCGTCCAGCATCCGCACACCTGCAAAGCAGAAATGAGCAAGCTGGTTACTCGTCTTCAGCAGACGATACCTAAGCATGCCACGCAGATGACTTCAGGGAATAAAGAATACATTTAAAAAACTGTAAACATATTTATGTATTTATTCAATTTTATGTCTGCCCGGATTTTATGTGTGACATTATGTGTTTGCAAGAACCCTCTGAGGCCAGAATTGGGAGCCGAGAGCCCTGGAACTAGAGTTAGAAGCAGTTGTGAGTCACCATGTGGATGCTGGGACAGTAGGCACTCTTGACCATCTCCCTAGGCCCAAGAAAATATTTTAACCAACACTTCAGTGAATGTTTCCTAGAAAAATGGTACCAGTTTGTATAAGCTAGCCTAGCTTGGAGAGACAGGAGGTTTCATTGTGTATAAAAGAACAAAATTTCATTCATTTTCCAAAGTTGAAAATCTTGCTTTCCTTCCTGTCTATTTTAATTGAGCATTTGATAAAGATACTCAAGCAATTCTAAATTTCTCCCTATTGATGAACTTAGACTCATAGATGTAGAAATCTTCTAACCTTAAAGCTACAAAGTTGCCACTCTACCTGGGTCTCATTTCCCATATAGCCTATAATAGTAGACGGATGCAAACTTACTGGATTTCTTTTCTGCCAACTTATGTACAAGTCAAATAATAGATGAGAATGTATTCGACACAATTCGAATAACTCTCAAGATGTTTTAGCAACATTTAGTCATTAATCGTCATTTAAGCTCATTCCTATCAGACAGAAATCAAGCATTAACCTTGTTTTTCAAAACTAATCACCAATAGAGCAAGACATAAATTATATGCCAAATGCCAACTTTTCCTTTTTATTCTGTATTTTGGCAACTTACAACAATAGCATAACATTTAATAATTTAGTAAAAGAAAAACTAGCCTACACTAAATATCATCACTGAGACTTGTATTGTTTTAAATGTAAAAACCTTTATTATTTATTTTATGGATGTGGGTGTATGCCTGCATGTACACCTTGTTCATCACATGCATGCCTGGCAGACAGAAAAGGGTGTCAGATCCCCTGGAGTGAGAGTTTACAGATCATTATTGAGTCACCATGTGGGTCCTGGGAATCAACCTTGGTTCCCTCAGAGGAGCAGCCAGTGCTCTTAACCACTGAGCATTCTCTCCAGCCCCTTATTTTAAAATTATACTTCCACAGGATTAATTTGCTTTTAAGGAGACTTTTTCTTCCCGGCAAGATTTCAAGTTTTTAACTGGTTACCAAGACACAGATCCAATACTCCCAGTGGCTTCCTCAAGCAGACAGTTCCCAGCCCTCTATATATCGCTTGCTATGTCTTATAAATGCTTGTGGTCATTTATCTGCCAGATTGACCATTGCAAGATGCTAACAACAATCAATAAAATGGAACAGTTAGGCCAGGCAGTGGTGTTGCACTCTTATTGTGGTTAGGAATGGCACTTTTCAGTTTTAGATGAACTATCTGCTAACAAATAGAGCGTTGGAACAAGGTACTCACCTTGCTGCTGAAGTTCGTAGTCATCTGACATTTTTTAGCCTACCTAAGGGAACATCCTTAGGCCTAACGATGAAGTCACTAGTCTATTAAAGTGCTGTCTTCCCATTTGTGTGTGGCCGTGGCAATCATCTGTTGCTTACAACAGTGATTACAAGTGGGAAAGTAGAGTCTACTTTTTCAGCACTTTGATTAATACTGTGTTGGCTAGATCTTTATAATAAACATACTTGTGCCGCAGTTTGAATTTATATGAGCATATATGCATATATGTACACAAAACACACACACCACACACACACACACACACACACACACACATCTGGACTCGTGGGAACATTAGGGGAGTCTAAGAAGAGATTTTACCGTTCAGCATTTCAGTTACAATTAAAAGGCACCTTTTAAAAGTTTAGGCACCAAACATGTCTTTTCTTTTTTAAGGCTGTCTTAAAATGCTTCTTCCACAGAGATACTGTGGTTAGAGGTGTCTATTGCTAGTTCTTCAAGACCAATTCCAAGTTAGTGGATCACATTTCTGTAGTCATTGCTGGGAAACATTTTTTTTTTGTTTTTGTTCAAGTATTATTTAGAAACACTGTATTTGTAACATATTGGGAGTCTTGTGGCAAGTGTCCACCATTGTACTGAACATCATCTCTCACACGGGCACCGTGCAGTCAGCAGCAGCTGCGCCCTGTCACGCATAGAGGTGCCCACTGCTAGTTTGAAAAGGATCCTGAAAAGCAGTTCGCCAAGAGCTTCCTGGCTCCTGTGTGTATCCTTGGAAGTGTCCCATACCTCCAATCTTGGCGTTGAAAGCGATTCCAACGGTGCAGTGAGAGTTGTTTGCAGCGGCTGCCACTTCTCCAGCACAACGGGTCCCATGCCTACAAGTAGAACAGACACGGTTTCTAAAGTAAGATACTCCATTCTCACCAGTTCTGGGCGTTCACTGCCAAAGTGGTGAAGAAAGTATCCAGCTGTGGGTGTTTCGAGAACTTCCTACCCAAGCAGCACTCAGCTTGACTATGGCAAATAAGTTAGCACTTCATCATGTGATTTTTGAGTTGTATTCTGAAGGAATTATTTTTGATATCTTTCTATCCTAAGAAGAAAACCACCCTAAAGGCTGAAATTGAACCATGTGATTGGTGGGTCTGTTTGTTTGTACTCTTTAATAAGCCACCAGCACACATGGCTGTTAGACACTCAACACATGGCTACAGAACATCTCAAGTTTTAATCTTATTTAATTGTGAATAAATTTAAATACAAGTACAAGACATGTTACAAATATATATATTATTTTGGCTCTTTTTAACTTCATTTTTTTAGTTTTCTGAGAATTTAGAGTAAGTACTATATTTATATTTTCCAATTTCTTCCCCTCTCTCTTCCCTCCAACTTTTCCTGTGTCACTCAACTTGTTTTCAAATGAACGTCTTTTCTTATATTATTATTATTATTATCTGTTTTAAACTGTACACTTAAATATAGATCAAGTAATTCCAATTAAAATTTATTATCCAAAGTGTAATATACTATTGAATTGCAAAGATAGTGCATAGAACAAATATCTTAATAACTGCTTTAAAGAAATTGTATGTAAATTATTGAGGCATGTCATGACTTAGTTCATTTGTTCCTTTTTATTTCCTTATGGTTCCTAAAAATGTGGTCATCAGAAAAGAAGGTTTGGGTTGACAAAGTTTTTTTTTTTCCTTTTTTGATAAGAATTCCCTATTCTTCCCACAACAATGCTTTTTGATCAGAAATATCTTCTGGCTGTAAGAAAGCTACTGGTTGGAAGAAAATGTTTGTTAAAAGAGATAGTTCATGCTGCTCTTTTCACTTAGTCTTGTCATGCATCTATTTATACTATACCAATATTAATCTGGGCATACTAGTGACTACTAACCACTGGATTAATCTTCATGTGACAGTATAAATAACATGGGATTATATACTTATTTGGCTGTATGTATACCCATATTCACTTACAATTTTTTTAAAAAATTTATCTTTTATTACAGAATGTTACCAGGTTTTTACTAATATGAACAAGGATGTGATCAGCAATTTTGAGCATATATATCATTTACCAACTGAAGATAGGTTACAAGAACTAGTATTACTGGACCAAAGGGTACAGTGGGCATAAACTGATAACAACCTGCAAAAAAAAATTTAACTAAGTGCATGAAAAGATGTCTTTAACAATACTGGTGTTGGGTTAGGAGATGTCTCAGGTAGAAAAGTTCTTGCTATGTATACATGAAGGCCCAAACTCGTCCCCAGTGCCCACGGAAAAAAGTCGATGACAGTAGCGTGTGCCTGTGAGGCAGATCCCTGGAGTTTGCTAGCCAGCTATTCTAGATGAATCCATATATTCTTCACCCAATGGGAGACCATCTCAAAAGAAAATAAAGCAGAAAGATATTGATAAAAATACTTAATATTTACCTTTGGTGCGCACGCATGCGGGTACACACACACACACACACACACACACACACACACACACACACTCACTCCCAAATGCCAGTATGTCTACAGTGTACGCATGTGATGCATGTGCCAAAGAGAAAGTGAGAAAAGAAAGGGAGAGAGAGATCATAGCGCAGCTGAAGGCCATTATTTAAAATGGAGGGAATATTTGTGCAATCTTAGATATGAATTTCTCAGTCTCTTTGCTCATATGACACAAAAAATACATTTTTGGTTCTTTACCGTGACTGGCCATCATTGGAACTACTTATTCATTACTGTTCTTCTTGCTTTATGAACAGCTTTTCTGAAGCCCTGGTTCAAAGTTCTCACTGCCTTTCCTGTCATATCTGTTGTAAAAACGTTTCCAAATTTGAGAAGTGTTGTTTTCACTGAAGGATATTTTATGCTGTCATGCTGAGCGTTTAATTTTTACAGACTCATGGTTATCCTTACCTGATAACATATTAATGTGTGCTTGCTGTGCGTGTGCATGTGTTGGGGGGGGGTATGTGTGCCACAGCACATGTAGAGAAGTTAGAGACAACTGTGGACTTGTTTTTGTCCATCTACGCTTACGTACTCACCTGGGATCGAACTCAGGTCTACTGTTTTGTGCATCAAGTCCATTTACTTCCTGAGACATCTCAGGCCTGAGTTATATCACTTTAATTATTAGAAAAACTTTTAAGTATTAAAAGAACAATTATTTCTTGTGTGAGTTCTGAACACAACTGACAATATTCCCTCGAGCCCGACAACTGTTAAGTTTGAGTGTTCGTTGAATACTTGTGAATAGTACATTGAGTTGTAAGTTATTCTTATTCAAATGCCTAATTCTTTTGGTGAGTCCATTATTCAAATATTATATCATATCAATTATTCATTAATTCTGAATGCTATAATTCAGTCTTTTTTATCCATTGATCCATGGATTATATATAATTTTAATATTTTAAAGTGCATATATGTCATTTAAAAAACATATTGAACACTTAATTGCCTTGCAATGTAAGGGTATAATTTCTTAACAAACTGAATTTTGCAAGAGTTAAACAATAACTGAGTCCACAGTCAGTGTCAACAAATGTTCTGTGCCTGAAGCCCATGTACTATATACATTCTCCAATTGTTCCTATATGCCCATTGTGTAAAGCCTGCTTAAGATTTTGGATTTATAATCTTCATTGCAGTTTAATCTATTTTGCTAAATTTAGCACAAAATAATTAACCTTCTTTGCGAAATGAACATTTTAGGACTATGTTATAATACTCAGTAGCTCCTACAGTGAAAAAAACTAATATTTAAATCACTACTACTTTACTTGAATTTCATGTGATTAGTTATATTCTTTAAAATGAAGAGTTTTTCTGAAGTTAAGATATTTTTCACTAGCCTGGCATGGAAGCACATGCCTTTAATCCCAGTACTAGGGAGGAAGAGTGAGGTAGATATCGTTAAGTAAGTTGTCAGTCTGGTCTACATACTGAGACATTTTCTTTTTTAAAATAATTTTATTTATTTTACATCTGGATAGCTGCCGCCTCTCCTTCCTCTTCTCCCACTCTCCTCCCCCTCCCCATCCCCCATCCCCTACCAGAGGTCAATCCACCTCTCCTCAGTATTCACTCAGAAAAGGGCAGGTCTCCCATAGACATCAGCAAAACATGGCATATCTAACTCCATAAGACCAGCACCTCACCCAGTACTCAAGCTGGGAAAGGCAATCTGGCATGAGGAATAGCCTCTTGAGCCAGCCAAAGCACCAGGGACAGGCCCTGCTCCCTCTGAAAGGAGACCAAGAAGTAGAGCAAGCCACACAACTGTCACATATATACAGAGGGCTTAGGTAGGTGCCATGCGGGCTTCCTGGCTGTTGGTTCAGCCTTGGGTTCCCATGGGTCAGTCTAGCAGTTTCTATGGGCCTTCCTTTGATGTCCCTGACTCCTCTGGCTCCTACAATCCCTCCTTCCTCTCCTCAGCAAAACTCCTTGAGCTTGATCCAATATTTCATCTTGGGTTCCTAAATCGACATCTATCAGTTGGCTCCCCTATAACCACTGGGGTAGTCACCAATCTTATCATAGGGATGGGCAGTTCAGCTTATGCATCCATTGCTGCCAGGAATCTTAGCTGGGTCCATCCTTATAGAGTAGTGAAAGCTTCCCTTGAATCAGGCTTCTACTAGCCTCCATAAACCCTTCTTTCCAGTAGTCTCTCTCAGAACTCTCCCTCTCCACCCATCCCCCAACCTGTTCCCTCAAGTTCCCATGCTCACCCACCCACAGTCAAACCAGGAAATTTTTCTCTATTTTCCCTTCCTAGGGAAAATCCATGAGTCCCTCTTTGGGCCCTCCTTGTTATCTAGCCTCTGTGGGTATCCTTTACTTTACAGCTAATATCCACTTATGATGAGTGAGGACATACCATGCTTGTCTTTCTGGGTCAGGGTCACCTCACTCAGAATGACTTTTTTTTTAGTTCCATCCATTTGGCTTCACATTTACTGATGTCATTGTTTTTAAGCAGCTAAGTAATACTCCATTGTATAAATGTACCACATTTTCTTTATCCATTCTTTGCTTAAGAGGCATCTAGGTTGCTTCCCGGTTCTGGCTACTACAAATAAAGCTGCTATGAATTGTTAAGGGATAATCTTTTTGTACACTGTGAAGATGTGTCTTTGCCAAGGCGCCTTCTGATTGGTTTAATAAATAGCTGAATGGTCAACAAATAGCCAGGATAGAATAGGCAGGATTTCCAGGAAGAGAAAGAGGAGATGAATCTAGGCACAGGAATTTTTGCCAGCAGACTCGGAGCAAGTTGAACATGCTGTACTGAGGAAAAGTAAAAAGCCACATGGTGGAATATAGATTAAAAATATGTGTTAATTAAGTTATAAGAGCTAGTTAGAAACAAGCCTAAGCTAAAGGCCAAACTTTCCCAATTAGTCATAAGCTCCTTGCCATTCATTATTTGTGGGCTGGCAGTCCTACAAAGAAAGTCCAATGACAGTGAACACAGTTGAGCATGTGTCCTTGTGGTATGATGGAACATCCTTTGGGTATAGGCCTGAGTGGTATCACTGGGTCTTGAGATATACTGATTCTCAATTTTCTGAGACACTTTGATATTGATTTCCAATCCACACACCTATGAACTCCTGATTTTTGACAAAGAAGTCAAAACTACACAATGGAGAAAAGAAAGCATCTTCAACAAATGATGCTGGCATAACTGGGTAGTGACATGCAGAAGAATGCAAACAGATTCATATCTATCACCCTACACAAAACTCAAATTTGAGTGGATCAAAAACCTCAGCATAAACCCAGTTACACTGAACCTGATAGACAAGAAAGTAGGAAATAGCCTTGAACCCACTGACACAGGAGACAA